GAATGCCTTCAGCGATCTTTCAAAGCCGAGGTCTACACCTGTCCAGCCTGCCGACACGACCTGGGCAAAAACTACCAAATGACGGTGAACAAACCTCTCCAAGCCATCCTCACTCAGCTCTTCCCCGGATACAGCAGCGGCCGGTGTTGACGCTGATGCTGTCGGCACGGCGACTCAGTGCGACAGAATTTCACGAACGAAACATGGATTTCTTTTTTTTTTTTTTTTTTTTTAATATATATATTTAACAAATGCATCAGGTTGTAGGATTGATGGAAACGCCTCTGCCTTGATTGAACACCGCTACTTGATTTGGCCCTGTTTTGTGATCTGCATTTATCTAGCCACTTGACTTCTGTACGCTGTAGTTATTTCTTATGAATTGCGATCTTCGTATTTACGAGTAAAGTGATTCTAGTCGTGTTTTAGCTATAGCCGCTTCAAGTGACGTATCATTGCCTTCTTGTACCCTACACCAGCACAATGAACCATAGCTATGCACAATTACGATGTTCGTTAATCATTTTTCGCTGCAATTTGTCATTACAATGATTTGTACGAAAACGCTGGCTCTAGAATCCCGTTAAAAAGATTGTTGCTTCGTAAGTGCGATTGACATTTTTACTGTACCATCGTTAGCGCTAACTGAATTTAATGAACGCTAATATCACATCAAAAAGCTCTTTTTTGCCATTTGATGTTAACAAGCTTACGTACGAATGCTATTTAGAATGGTTGAGTTTAAGGTGCTGTAGCAGTAGCGTTTTTTCCATTGTTAACGTTAACTAAGAACTATCTATGCACTTATGATGTTCCTTAATTTTTTGCAAGCAGTAATTTGACGTTGCAATGATTTGTGTGAAAGCGCTGACTCTGGAGTCCTGTTAAAACGATTAAGCACGTTTGCGTTTTTGCGTTTTTACTGTACCATCATTAGCGTTAACTAAATTTAAAGAAAATAGCTATGTACTAAATACGATGTTTGCAATGTTAATCATTTGACATTAACAAGCTTTTGTACAAATGTTAACAGCCATGAGTTTAAGGTGCTGTAGCAGTAATGTTTTTACTGTACCATCATTAGTGCTAACTAAATTTAAAAGAAATAGCTATGTACTATATACAATGTTTGCGACGCTAATATCCCAACAGGTTTTTCCATTTATTACATTAACAAGCCTTCGTACGAATGTTAACGTCAAAGAGTTTAAGGTGCTGTAGCAGTAATGTTTTTACTGTACCATCGTTAGCGCTAACTAAATTTAAAAGAAATAGCTATGCACTATATACAATGTCTGCGACGCTAATATCCCAACAGGTTTTTCCATTTATTACATTAACAAGCCTTCGTACGAATGTTAACGTCAAAGAGTTTAAGGTGCTGTAGCAGTAATGTTTTTACTCTACCATCGTTAGCGCTAAGTAAATTTAAATAAACTAGCTATGCACTACGAGGATGTTTGCGACGTTCTCAACTTTTTTTCCGCCAGCAGTTTTTTGTCGTTTATGACAATGACAAGCCTTCGTACAAATGCTATTAAGATCTGTGAGTTTAAGGTGCCGTAGCTTTACTAGCGCACAAAAACGTTTTTATGTTTTGGCTTTATTAAATCTTTTATCGTACTGCCGTTATTGGTAACTAATGAAATTGAATCAAAAAAATGATTAATTTGAACCTATTAGTAATTTACGTTAAAAAAACTCTACATTCGTTGAACTTATCCTGTTTTTTCTCATCCATTTTGATAAGCAACTAAATTTTAATATGCTCTGAAATTAATAGATATTCCGTTTCGTTTATTTGCTTTGCTGTTTAACTGCTGTATGTGCTTTAGAAATGGATTGTCATTTTTCCACTAACTTCTGCCGTTATGCAAACAGTGATCATGCGCGTAAAACTGATCCGCGATCTGCATTTCAGGTGCTGTTTTGAGTCGATCCCAGATCCGGTTTTAAGCGCTCCTGGTCTGCCTTGACTTTTCGAAGGTTTTCAGGATAAATCCTTGAACCGTTTTCCGCACAAACCCATACAGATTCTCATTCAGGAAGTATTTAATTGTATCGTCTTTTTCGCCCGTTGATGTTCTTTGCTTGTTGTAAGAGTTGTTGTAGTATTTGCTAAATAAAATGCCTACGGTTGCAGATAATTACCTTTTTTTTTTTTTTGTTTTCCTTAGTTATACCTCAACTATTTCTAATATTTGCGTAGACTGAAGCTGTATATTCTGAAATTTGAAATTGTATATTTTTGAGCACTTGTATTTAGCCATTTTATGTAGTGGTTGGTGCATAGCTATTTTCTTGCACTGTGACGACTGCTATATTTTTCAATAAACTGTATTGAACTTTTTATATAAAATAAAACCCCATGTGTGCGTGCGCTTCTTAAAATGCTCTGTGTATCATATTTTGCAATAAAAATGCTGTTTTTGAATGTGTGCGACTTGATTCATTAGCGGTGCATAAATAAAGTGCAGTAAATGTTAAAACAGTTTGCGATACAAACCAGTGTGTTTAATAACTAAAATGACAAATACCAATTTGCGATGTTATGCAGCATAATGGATTGTTTTGTTCAGAAAAAGAACTACAAGTGGATGATACCGGAAGTCGCGCACATTCAAGATACGAATGGTTAAAAAGGCGGATAACGCACTCAAGATATTTGTATAGTTAGTAACGACATCTTTTGGGATGATTTAGTACTTTAATATCAGTTTAAGTAGTTTTAGTCATAGAAAAAACTAATTTATCTAGAAAAGTTGATCTAAAGACGCAAAGTGATTTCACCTTTTTCTGAAACGAATATATTTGTAAACCACAAACATTTCCCCCAAATTTAAATTTCATCCCAAATGAAAGAAAAGAAAAATGGGGCTCTAAACTGCTAGATAGATATTATTTTTGTGTATATGCTCTTATGTTCTTTGAACACATTTCCACGTCGTTTAAATGGAGGGTTTTCTTCTATTTATAACGTATTGTGTGCAAAACAGGTTTAAACCCGGAAGAATGTGGGATATGAAAGGCATATATGCAGTGTTGGGGAAAGTTACTTTTAAAAGTAATGCATTACCATGGGGACACCAGAGCTGTCAATCAATAAAGTGGGGGAAAAAAGTAACTTGCGTTACTTGCGTTGAAAAAGTTACTCAGATATTCTCTTGTAAATTAAAAAAGTAATGCGTTACTTTACTAGTTACTTGAAAAAAAAGTAATCTGATTACGTAACTCGCGTTACTTGTAATGCATTACCCCCAACACTGCATATATTTCATATTACATCAAACGCAGACTTGCAGTCAAGTATGTAATACCGGAAGACACACTGTTGTTACGTGAAATACGTGCTTTCCGTGATAGTAGGAAGCGCAAACACAACGTGAAAGGCCGGTTGAGCTGTCAATCGAGCTCGCCAGCCAATGGGAGTCTACGCTTTGGTTCGATCCAGCCAATCACGGCACACGTCGCGCTGCAGTGGGCGGAGACGCGGCCCAGCGCTGCTGTAACACAACCGAGCCTTTGGAATCCAGAAAACGGATAGAATCGAGAAGAAAACCGCGACAAAAAGAGCAAAAAACGAACAAGAGCTGGAGGTAACGCGATATATACTATCTCTATAGCGCTTTCGGGTCGAGTCCGCGGACACTGGAGGAGTTTTTATTGTTATTTGTGATGCTACAGAGCAGCTGTGTTGATATGCTTGTCAAATCAGGAGCATAAACGCTGCTGGTGAGAAATATAAGCACATTAAAGCATTTGCACTTGAATACAGTAGTGTATTTGATACATAAGTCAAAGTATGTGATGTATATGTGTTATTTTAATCGTTTCCAGTATGGTTTTTCATGCATTTCGCTTTAGTAGCCATCATGCATTCCGCTATAGGCTGGACACATACACAAAGGCCATTTAAACCTCCATCTCTCATGCTGATTGAATTTGAGCTGAGCTGAACACTAGGAATTAAACGTGCATTTTGCATCGATTGGTCATTTCTTTTTCTTTCATGCGTGGATGCTCTTTATGGTTAAGCTTCAAGCATATTTCTAATATGTAATAAACTACAGCAAGCGAAAGTTAGTGATAGAAAACTGTCTTAATGCTATGAAGACGCGCCTGAGCTGAATTTTGCCTGCAGTTATTGATTATTGCATGCATGCGGAATATTTATGGTAACACAGAGACTTTAGTAACATCTAATTACATTAAAATATAAGCGATGCATTTTGCATGTAGCTATTGATTTTTGTAAAGTGAGTAGTTCACCCAAAAATGAATATTTTACTAAAATGTAATCATCTTCAGGGCATCCGAGATGTAGATGAGTTTGTTTCTTCATCAGGTTTGGAGAAATGTAGCATTCCATCATTTGCTCACCAATGGATGTGAATGGGTGCCGTCAGAATGAGAGTCCAAACAGCTGATAAAAACATCACAATAATCCACAGCACTCCAGTCCATCAGTTAACGTCTTGAGAAATGAAAAGCTGTGTGTTTGTAAGAAACAATTCCATCAAGCCGTTTTTAACAAAAATACGAGTCCATAATCCGTAATAATTCCATAATTCCTCCAGTGAAAAAGTCATCTGATCTGAATCAGGAGAGAAATCTGCACGCAGCTTTTGTCTTCTCAAGATGTTAACTGGTGGACTGGAGTGGTGTGGATTACTTGTGGATTATTAGGGCCTTTCGCACCGCTTTAGTTTCAGAACTAAATGTACAGTACTAAAGTACTGGGACGATTTTGCGCGAACTATTTCCCAGTACCATTTAAAGGGTTGCAGTCGCCCATTCACTGCAGAGCATCCATTGGCGAGAAAATTATGTAATTAGGGCTGTGGATATCGATTATTTTAGTAAACGAGTAGGACTGCACGATAAATCGAAATGGAATCGAGATCGCGATTCGACAGAAGCTGCGATTGTCATGCGTATCTT